AGCAAGCGGAACGAATGCTGGCTGAATTCGACTGCGTGTGGAAGAATCGGTCTACGGCTGAACCTAACGAAGACGATGTTCATGAGAAACGGATTGGTATCTGATGCCCCATTCACGCTCAACGGAACGACCATCTCTGAATGCTCTAGCTATGTACTGACCGTGTACTAGGTTCGTGAAAGTCATATGGCATGAATGACCTAGTCCAGAAGCGGAGCAGGGGTTAGCGAGCCCGGGCTTGGCGGCGAGTCCTTTCAGACATCGAAGGAGTAGCGAAGAAGACGAAGAACACCAAGCTCCGTGCCCACCTCTTCGATTCCGCGGTCCTTCCTGCCTTGACGTACGCCTCAGAGACTTGGACTCTACGAAAGCAGGATGAGCATGCGGTCGGCGTTATTCAACGCGCCATCGAAAGGGCGATGCTCGGAGTTTCCCGCTACACGCAAGTGAGAGAGGGAATCCGGAGCTCCGCACTCCGCCAACGATCGAGAGACGCCGCCGCATTTGCCAAGGTTTCGAAGATCAGGTGGGCCGGACACGTCATGCGTTTCGAGGACGACCGCTGGACCAGAGCGTCACCGACTGGATTCCACGGGATGTCAAGCGAACGCCTGGACGACCGCCTATGCGATGGTCAGACTTCTTCGTGAAAGCTCTGAACGAATGGTATGAAGTTCATCGTGTCCCTCGAGCTGAGAGAGTTCATTGGGCAACTCTTGCACGTTGCAGGGACGAATGGAGACGTTACTGGCGCCCGCTCGAGGAACTCGATGATCAACGGGAGCACAGGTGATACAGGTGATATAGCAGGGCGCTATATAGTGGGGAAAATGGCGAAAAAACGAAGTGAAACGGTCGAAAACCTGAGAAGAAAAGCCTACGACTCAAAAGGCAATTTTGGACGAGTTTCCCGTAGACACCTTGCCAATAACCGCTACGGTAGGTGCAGCTGCACGTATGTACTCACATATCCATGCAGCACCGCAGCCGCTTCATACCAATCCCTTCGCTTCATATTTTACTTAGCAAATGAAGCAATACGAGCGTCAGGTACGGTCGTCCATTTGTGGGCGGGCGGGCGTGGTGGGCGTTCGGGTCGGTATGTTGTAGCTTGATAGGTATAAGTGGTACCTTCCTTGAAAAAGGCGCTGCGCAGCGCCTGCTCAGGGTCGCGGAATCCTCTTCTGCCAGTCATGTTAATCCTAATCGTCTCAGGGATTTATCGTGCCAACTGCCTTTAAGATCTTTTCAGTGCGCGCATGCAATTTATTCTTCGTATCTGCTGGTTTCTTAAGATATCAAGGAGGTAATCCGACATCAAACCCAGTGCGTGCTCACTTGGAGCGCCATGCACATGCACTAATGAATTCAAATGGGAGCCGTTACGGCATGGTGGCTTTTTTCGAAATGTTTTGGCACTCCCACCGCTGCTGGGAGTGCCAAAAGAAGTGAAGGAATTTTTTTTCACAGGAGAGCAAAGCGAATCTCTCCGGGTAGATCTACAGTATGGTGGTTTGCGGGTCCAATTTCTGGCGTACGTAAAAACCGTGTCTTGCAAAAAGTATGTAGTTCTCATCTTCCAGTGACATGGCTTCGTTCACATAGCGCGAAATATGTCTCTGAATTGTCTGCAATTATTGTCATTTTTCAGGTGCGATTCTCTGTGGTTTCAAACTCGAAGATAAGTCCGCCACGCACATCATAATTGGTGTTCCTGATGGTTCCCAGCAAAGGTATTTGCACAAGCTTCAGTCTTTTTCACTGTCTGTTTAGCTACCCAATTTCGTGTTGTTATTTTCAGGTATGAAGTGCTGCAAGTGTTTCCTTTTCACGCTGATCGTAAACGGATGTCAGTGGTAGTAAAAACACCTTCGGGACCTCTTCTTTATTGCAAAGGGGCCGACTCAGCAGTACTGTCACGGTATGATCTTTGTGGTTCTGTCATCACTAGAACTTACTTTTTAGGACGACTTCATCTCAAGTACAGTTTCATTCCCGTCAGTTCTTCAATTCTGCTATTTCTCAACTCTTCAGATATATCCGTATCTGATCCTTTTCGCACACTCGTCACTTCTTCAATTTCTACATCTCCTGCGGCCCTCTTCTGGGAGCGTGGTCGCATTTAGCAGAACTTATTTACAGCTCGATCGTATGCTTTGATTGACAGACCAGACGAGGGAGAGATGGGAGAGCGCAAAACCGCCTAGATAAGGCACGATATGGGCTGAGCCTGGCTGAGCAGAAACGATGAAACTCAGGGTGTGAGCCCCGATGATTCGAGTGTGCCGCTTCGCTACTTGAAGACGCTCTGTATTTACCGTACATAATCGTAATGTGTGTGTGTGTGTGTGTGTGTGTGTGTGTGTGTGTGTGTGTGTGTGTGTGTGTGTGTGTGTGTGTGTGTGTGTGTGTGTGTGTGTGTGTGTGTGTGTGTGTGTGTGTGTGTGTGTGTGTGTGTGTGTGTGTGTGTGTTGCAGTTGCTGTGCTTGATGGTGATAATTCGATAGGGATGTGGCAAGGTGAGGTCACTAACTCATTATGCGGTCACAGCGACAGGTAGGAGGCGTTGCGTTCTAAGATCCACCCGATATTAATATAATTCCGTCCGTGTTTGTTTGTTTGATTTGTTTTGTAGATTTGTCTGTAAGCGAAAATTTCGGTTCGACCCTGAAAACGACTTGGAAGAGCTCGGGTCCAAGTGGGGGATGGTAGGTGCCATGGGCACAAGAAATAAAAAGGACACTTGACCTATGGGAAGCCCCGCCCACAGTGGGCGGGGCACTCGCCGAAAGTTTGGGGCGCAGAAAAATGTTCATGATTCGCTTCCGGAGCAGCTTAAAGATGCTGGGAAGGGATTAAGGTTAGTAAGGAGTCGCCAGACTAACTGTGGAAGACACGTCCAAAATGGGCGGGGCGTACTCATGGTGGGCGGTGCTTCTCGCAAAATTCAGTAACCCTGTTCGCGAGAGTGTTTGGAAGTCGCAAAAAACTCAGTGTAGAATGTAAATATCTGGCGAATATAGGGCACGCTCAAAGTGTGTTGAGACCCGCCCACAGTGGGCGGAGCTTGCCCTAAATCGCAGGGTAATCATTTCAAAAGTTTGTAGCTCGGTTCCAGAACCTCCAGACCCCGAAAAAAAGTCGGTTCTTAAGTCAGCCAGAGGGTCGTCGGTGAAGATTGTGGGGCACAAAAATTGGGGGCGAAGCCAGCCCCAGGTGGGCGGAGTCAGACAAGAGATCGGCAGAACGGTCCCAGAGCACTCCGAAGACCGGAATAAAGTGGATTAAGGTCAGCAGAGGGTCGTCGGTGAAGATAGTGGGGCACAAAACGGGGGGCGGAGCCAGCCCGAGGTGGGCGGAGTCAGACAAAAGACCGGCAAAACGGTCCCAGAGCACTCTTGGTAAGAACGGAATAAAGTGGAATTAAAGGAATCTGCTCCACGCGAACGACTTTTTGTTTACCACTCTGGTGGGTGTTGGCTACAATATCCCTACTAGAGGCCACTGTTGCCAAAGTTTCCGGTCTGAAAGTTCAGTTGGTGAGAGTAATAAAAACCTCTTTGAACAATGTTCTTCCAGTGGCCAGACTGGACACCGCAGGGGGCCGGAGCCAAAAAGGTCCTTGGAACAGATTGCGTGGCATGCACGGCAAATGCCACGGCGCTCACGGCACTGTGTAAACTGGCGCCGTGTAGCATGAAAATCACGTTCTGACGTGTCAGATCTGATAACCTAGTGAGTAAGATCCGATGAGCGAGTGAATGCACTGAATGCACTGATTCGCATAGTTTATAGGTTAGATTTTGTGTGGTGGGCTCAAATTTTTCAGTTTTACGGGTGCGGATGTGTTGCACTTGCTGTCTCTGCCCAAAAACCTTAATCTATACATAATCTGAGGAGCCTATCGGTTGTGATTTGTCCGGTAATACGGTTTGTCCTGAAGACAATCTGCGATATAAGTTAGCTAAGTTTCATGCTACTGAATATCCGTGGTATATGGCGTGTAAACTGGCTCAGACAAGCGTCTCGCCGAAAATGAATGCGTGTCTCTATGCACGCTAATAACTACACGCATTATTTGGAAGGAAGATTTATTATTCCACAAAACACCAATCAAAGGGACTTTTGCGCCCTGCATGTATTCGTTCTTGATCACATGTGACCCTCAATAGGGTCGGGTTCCGCTGGTTCAGCAAGAATGCATGATTAGTCCTTGTAGGAGGTGTTCATTGAAGGTAGAAGAGCGAAGTGAATGCTCGGCATAACGCCCTGCTTGAAGAATGTTCAGCAACGAGAATGCCTCCATCTTGCGGGCTGAAAAGAATCGTAGGGTCATCATATACCATCGACGAATCTTATGTTTTGAAATGTCCTACTTCATTATCCTACTTCATCCGAGATATTTTTGTGTTGCCGCATCGCTACAGGCCTTGCGTTCTATGTTTGAGCTATGAGGAGATTGCTGATCGATGCAACCTGGAAGAATAACTTTAGTTTCCGTGAAAAAGGGCCCAAATAAATAAATAAATAATAATAATAGTGTAATAAACTTCGTCTCCGATGTTATTCGATGTCACGATCACGATACTGGGAATTTATTTTGACGCTGGCGCCATCTGGCGCCACACCCTCTCCTATCCAGTCGATAAAAACCTGCATAATGGGCTTGTTTGGTGCCCTGAGCGGTATTAAGCGTTCTGCTGAGACTGAACAAGTGAAAAGGAGTCTTCCCTTTGGGCAAGGCTCAGCCTCAGCAAAGCTCCAATGATCAGTGTTCTACCTTAGCCGCGGCGCTGAGAATAAATGTCATATCCGTAATCAGCATGTCAAATAGTACCCGTATACACCTTTTTATTGACGGTTTTGGCCCAAGCGCATGTGATATACGTATTCAGGAGGTCGAAATACCCCCATGAGCAAACTTTCAACCGAATCTGCCCTAGTAGGAAAAAGTCAGTAAAAAACGCCTTGATTTCGGCAGACTGGGTTGGGTTAGAAACAGTTCAATAGGGCCCAATTTCCTCTTTATGCACTTGTATAATTGGGTTTCAATGGCGCTCATCAAAAATAGTCCGCGCTCGGGTCAGAATTTCTTATGACATTGCAGTGGAGCTTTACAAATTCAATGAGGCATCCTGTTGAAGCATTTTTCAGATGAAATGTCACGAAGATTCCCCGAAAACTCATTGAATTGGTAGCACAAAATTGTTTTGCATGTTTTCTCCCTCACGGATCCCGCTTTCATTCCAGACGTTTCGAATCTTTTCAGCGGAATGCTAGCGTTCTGAGCCAACGCATTAGTGTGCGTGTCGATAGGCACTAAGAACGCCATATCGATACCTACTTATTTTCGCCCCAAACATACAAAAATGTTCGAGGCAATAGCAACCACGACACAAACGCGCGTTACCCAGGCAATCTCGGTGGTGTCGTGAGATCATGTGTCTGCTGCGCACCCACAGTGTTTACGGCTTCTTTCGGGGGGGGGGGCGCTTCAGTGAGTGGGGGGGGGGCGCTTTCTGGTTGTTCGCCTACGGAAGTGCCGCTCGTTCGATGACCCGACTTTGGCATGTTTGCGCAGTGGGAGGGGTGTGCGGTGACATGTGTGCACAAATTTCAACACTAATTTTATTCGACAGCACATGTTTTCCAGGGACTGAATGCGATCATCGCAGTCGAGCGAGCGGTCCGATCGCACGGGCGAGAAGTCTCAACGCCCTCTAAGGCCGTGTTAATGGCTTGCGACCGTGTAGAAAAGTCTTAAGATGGCTTATCCGTTTTTTTTTCTTTACGACTCGCTCTCGAAGTTCAGCCAGCAGGCGGGAAAGCACGCCGCGCTTAGGCACAAGGGGTGACTCACCATCCTAAAAGAACGATGGGCCTGCCTGGAACGTAAGCGGGGTGATACAGCAGAAATGGTGAAGATTGAGCTTCTATTAAAACGAAGATAGTCTCAGATATTAGCACCCTTCTATACGAGAATAATGTAATACATGACCACAATGAAGGGAAGGAAATCATAACACTTATTCGAAACGCTCCACTTGGATAACTATGAGAACACAGAAAAAAGAATGCAAAAATCATGTGGATTCAAAAAAGTAGTTATTCCTCTGCGCGCTTCTGGGCAGTCCAACATGGGGCTAAAGAAATATTTTATACAAATGAGAATACTGAACATCACATTCGTTACTCTAACAAGCTGTGAAGCTTAAGAAGTGTTAGAGTAACGAAAGCATAGCTTTGATTGCCCTATCATAAACAGCAGAGGACAGCAGACGGTGCAGCCGGCTACACCAATTGTTTAAGCGAGCAAACGACAGCAATGCTTACATCCACCAGGAAACTAATGTTTTAGTCTCACTTCTGAAGCAACCCACTAATTCGAAATTCGAAGAAATGCACTCTCGAAAAGGAAAATATAGTGTATTGCTGCGGACGGTTGGCATGCTGGGTAGGAATGGAACAGTAAGCCTCAGCGAAACCCCGATCTCCGCAACAGGCCCCAAACTCACCCCGCTTGACAAAACAAAAGGGTGGAATCATGCCAAAAATGATATCATCACGAAGGAATGCGATCGTGCATATAATATAATTGTTACCGGCTTCAAGCGCGTTTCCGGCACCTCGAAGCTTCTGTCAGGGCGATGATTATCACCTTTCCGGCGTTTCTTTCGTTCTCCTCATTAACCTGAGAACGAGAAACGCGAAGATCACAATAAATAGATACCAACACCAAATTGCATAGGCGGACTGCGCTAATGATTCAAATTGGATAGATAGAAGAAACGCTTACAGTAGGCGAGAAATTAAGCAAACAGAACAACCCAAAATGCAAGACAGACTGATAAACATTTACATTGCATGAAAATATGAAAAAAAAATGGGAGTGAAAGAGTGACTATTGATCGACGGAGGATGAGGTGAAAACAGACGCCAAATTTTTACGCGACGACACACACGGCCAACGCTTTTAGAAGAAAAGAAACAGCGGGAAATTGTGGGAGTTTTACGGCGGGAATTTGAAAGGGGAATATGAACTCCGGTTTT